ACCTTTTTTTTATAAAGTCCTTGCCTTGTATGAGCCGGAATCCCATGTGGGTGGCGGTTCGTGTCCTTACTGCTCCACTTCCCATCCAACTCCCTATATGTGGGCCAGGAAAGCAATGGAGGTCCCAAATCCTTGGGACCCTGCATCTACATGGGAGACCCAGAAGAAACCCCTGGCTCCTGGCTCCTGGCTCTCGCCTGACCCAGCACTAGCCATTGCCATTGCAACCGCTTGGGGAGTGAACCAGCCAATGGAAGATTCTTTCTCACTCTCCCTCTCTCTGTCTTTCCATTACTCTCTGTGATTGCAAATAAATAAGTCTTGTGAAAAAAAAATTTTTTTTTTTTATTTATTAGAGAGGCAGAGAGACATAGAAAGAGAGATGTAAACACAGAGAGAGCTCCCATCTTCTGGTCTACTCTCCAAATAGCTATAATAACCAGTGCAGGGCCAGACCAAAGCCAGGAGCCTGGAACACAATTCAGACCTCTAGATGGGTGGCAGGGGCCTAACAGAGGCATCACCTGCTGCCTGACTGGGTGCACATCAGCAGGGAACTGGGGTTGGAGCTGGTCAGACTAGAACTTTTCCAAGGTGCAGGCACCGGAGTGCCATTCTAATCTCCATAGTTCTCACATTCTACCAGACACGTATCACTATTGTGTTGCTGATTTTAAAAATAAGGAAACTGAGGCACAGAAAGTTTTCATTTTAAAAAAGAGAGATTTGTTTATTTTAAAAGCCTTGAAAGAGAGAGTTAGGGGGAGGGTAGACAGAGCGGTAGTGAGAACTTCAACCTGCTGATTTCACTCTCCAAATAGCCCCTGGGGCTGCTCCAGGCTGAAGCCAGGAGCCTGGAGTTTCATCAGGGTCTCCCATGTGGGTGAAAGGGACCCAAGGACCTGGGTCATCTTCCACTGCTTTTTTGGAGCAGTGGAGACTCGAATCAGCAGTCTGATGTTAAGACAGGTGTCACAAGCTTCATGTGCCGTGCCGCAACGCCTCAGCTCACAGTGTCTGTGCCTTGCAGGATCCCACAGCTGCTGTGCAGCCCAAGTAGGAGCTGCCTCCCCACTCAGAAGTACTCCAGTCTCCAGCTGGAAGCAGTCGCCCTCCGAGAGCTCCCTGGCTTCTGCCTCTCCTTCCGCAGAAGAAGCTGAACTCCAGGGTCCCAGAGCCACACTTCTCCAGCAGGAGGGCTGCAAGGCTGCTGGCCATCAAGTGTGGCTTTCCAGGAAGCTGTAGGGGCCAAGCACAGAGACCTACACCCTCGGCTTTACCCTAGCCGCTGAGCTAAATGTGACAACCCACAGTCCCAGGCTTCTGACCTCCTACATGTCCGAAAACCCCCAGGTTCACTCAGCTCAGTCTGGGCCCAGCCGACTGCGTCCCACCTGGGATCAGCAGGGTATCTGCTAGCCCATGAGCAACACCGAAGAGCTAAGCCACAGCAGGTTTTTCTCAACCCCGAAACCTCCACAACCATTCATAATGTCTTCCTGGCGACCCACAGCTCAATGGGTCAGCCTCACAAACCACAGAGCAGGGGCCCAGGGATCCCCCTCTCCTTCTTTTAGTATCACAGAAGGGAGACAGGGGTTTCCAGAAGTAAATAGCAAAAAATGCAAATACACATCCCATGATCCTCCAAGAAAGTCCAAGACCCTCCCCTGCTCAACCAGATCCACAAAAGAAAGTGTGTGTCCCTAGGTGACCCAGCACAGTCAGCCAGGGGCTGGTGCTACAGCACGTGTTTAAAGAAGGTAGTGGAGCAGGCATTGAGGGTGACGGCTCCAGAGGTTGGGTCCCTGTCACTTGGGAGACCTAGATTGCAATTCTGATTCCTGGGTTCCGCCACGGCCCAAATCTAGCTGTTTATGGCATCTGGGGGAGATGAGCCAGTGGATGGAATATCTCTCCCCCATCCCCTTTCTCTGTCTCTCTGCTTCTCAAATAAATCTTAAAAAGAAAGAAAGAGAGAGAAAAAACTGGCCTAGTGGCACATTAGGTTAAGTCATTGCTTGTGACATCAGCATGCCATACAGGAGTGCCAGTTCAAGTCCTGGCTGCTCCGCTTCCAATCCAGATTCCTACTAATGCTCCCGGGCAGGCAGCAGAGGATGGTCCCAGTGCCCAGTGCCCAGTGCCACAGGATGGGGCCCCTGCCCGCCTGTGTAGGAGAAGCAGATGGTGCTCCTGGTTCTTCACTTTGACCTGCCCCAGCTCTGGCTTCTCTCTCTCATTCTCATGTTCTGCCTTTCAAAGAAACACATCTTCACAGTAAAAGAAAGGAAGAAGAAGGGAGGAGGGAAAGATACAAAGGGAGGATGGGACAGCTGGAAGACAGCGGGAAGGGAGGGAGGAAGAGGGGAGGCCGGCTGGGGTCCTGATGGGGAAGTGAGGAAATCAGACAGCAGAATGAACGGGACATGGCCATGACCAGGAGGCCTCGTGGGTCCCTCCTTCCCTCCCCTACCTCCCCAGCCTCCCCAGCTGCCTTGCCCCAGCGATAACCCAGTAAAGGCTCCAGACCCAACTGGCTTCTGTGGACTCCGCCCTTCCCCCATGCCGGAATCCCACTACCAGACAGCAAAGGGGCTGCTGGTCTGCAGAGCAAAGCTTTAACTCCATGCTGGCCAAAGATGCTGGCTCCTGGCAAAGGCTGCCCAGGGACTTCCTCTCCTCTGCCCCTGCCCCAGGCAGGGAGCTCGCCTTTGGAAGGAGAAAGAGCAGTACCCGAGCAGCAGCCGGCCCAGGCTGGACCTCCCTAAGGCAGCACTGGCAGTTTCCTTGAGATGGCCCAGAAGGCTGACCGAGGCTCTGGACTGACCCTAACTCTGCCTCCCACGCCCCCTCCCCTGGCCCTTCCTCCCCAGCTGGATGCCATGACACCTACCCTCGTCACCACTACCAGCTCACACACTGGATCCTTCCACGTCCTAACCCTGGGGAACAATATGACAACCCTAGAAGGTGCCTGAAAAGCCACGCTCTGTATTCAACAGGTGAGGAAACCACTACCCAGAGAAGTCAAGAGCAATCCAGGGCCACAGCTCGGTCGGGCCAGGTTCCGGGAATCAACTCACACACAGCAAGTCAAAGCAAAGTAACTAGGATGGCAATTGGGAGGAGTGGGCAGGGACAAGGAACAAATCCATTTGTGCATGGGCAGATGGAGGCTGGCAGAAGTGAAGGGGCCTTTCCAGGACCTCACGTTCACACTGCTGGCTCATGGGACTCTTAGACACAGACTCACCCGGTGAGATGCCCCTAAGCCAGCCGGTGACGACTGCCGCCCAGACTGCACAGTTTTGTAACCTCACTGAGTCACCTATTAACAAGCCGACCTGGAAATCCTCCTGCAGGCCCAACTCGCTCCCACTGCTGGGGTTCGTGCACCACCCTCTACTTCCTCCAAGGGGCACTGCCACCCAGGAGAGCTGCGCCATGTGGGCTTCGGTTCAGTGAACTAACCTGGCAGTCTGAAATGGAACAGCAACTGGAGTGCATGAAGCTACTTTCAGTTGCCCATGAGAACCAACTTATGGGTACATTTGCCACAAGGGCAAGAACACTGTGGAACCCATTCATGGTTTTTGCAATGCATCCCCTTCTAGGATTGCTCATGGAGTGGATTTCAAAAAATCTTAGCACCAGAATAAACTCAGCTACATTCACCCATGAATTTTTAACATTCCTTTGTACATAGAGAAGGTCCTAGACTATTCTCGAAGACCAATCACTAGTTGACTAGAGAGATAGGCTCTAATTATCTTTCTATTTGGGTATCCTGGCATCACAAGGCCCGGCTTTCTGTCTCAGCTAGTCTGCCCAGTCTTTTCACCCATGAACAGAAAAAGGTTACATTACTTTCTCTGCCTCTTGATGAGCTTCAAACTTGGAAATAAGGCCCAACGCAATGTTGCCTTGCACCTGCCAGGATCCCATATGAGCACTAGTTCATGTCCAGCTCTTCCACTTCCCATCCAGCTCCCTGTTTGTGGCCTGGGAATGCAGTTGAGAATGGCCCAAAGCCTTGGGACCCTGCACCCGCGTGGGGATCGGCTCAGCTCTGGTCATTGCAGCCAGCTGGGGAGTGAGCCAACAGATGGAATATCTCTCTATGAAGCCGATCTGTCTTTCCAATAAAAGTAAATAAATCTTAAAAAAGAAATCGGAAATGGATGGACAAGAATCCTTGCCCTGATTTGTAAGTTGTTCTGCAAACCCCAGTGAATCATTAACTTGATGGGTTTGTGGTAACTGAGGAAGATCTTTTGCTGAGGGGCAGGGACTGGAGTGTGCTTGGCTAACTGGACCTTGCTGCCCCCACCAGTCTGACTTAACGAGCTCGCTTAATCATCCTAGCTTCTCTCTCTTGTGCCTGCCTCTCTCTGAACTCTCTCTGAACTCGGTCATTCCCAGTTCACACCACCCACACAGCCCAGAATCTCCCCAGCTTTGTCAGCCCACCCTGACCCAGAGGAATGGAGCCCCCAGGGCTCCTGGAAGAAGATTCACCCCCCTCCACCCACACCCACCCTTCTGCTACTTCACCTACCCATGGGAAGATACCCAGCGGGGGTGGGGGTGGGGGTGGGGGTAAGAGGGTGACCCAGCCCACATAGCCTGGCTGACCCTTGGTCTTCAAGCACGGCAGGTTCCCTGTGCTCTCTGTGGGCTAGGAGGGCGACGGGGGTGGGGTGCTCCCTGTGCCAGGGATAGAGTTGGGCTTGGGCCAGCGTAGTGGTGCCCAGCCCCAGGGACTTCCATTCTCTAAACCCTACACGAATCAGAGGGAGGAGCTGGGAACTGGCCCCCTCACTAATCCCCTGGTGTAAGGCTGGGCACCTTGCCCATGTTAGCACCACTTCTCACAACCCCTGGAGGAGATTATTATCCACACTTAGCAGATGAGATGAGGAGAAACAGGTTCCCAGCTGCTACCAAATGCCTTCACACGTCTAAAGGACGATACAGTACAAACCCAGGGTCCTCACCTCCAGCCTGGACAGAGGGGTGGAGCCGGAGTCTATTTATAGCAGGTTTCCTGGCGCAGATCAAAACCAAAGTTCCACTGACTTCTGGGTTGTTCTTTTTTATTTATTCATTTTTCATTTATTTATTTTTATTGGAAAAATAGATTTATAGGGAGAAGGGACAGGGAGAGAGAGAGATCTTCCATCTGCTGGTTCATTCCTCAAACGACAGCAGCTAGAGCTGAATCGATCCAAAGCCAGGAGCTTCCTGCAGGTCTTTCACACGGGTGCAGGGTCCTGAGGCTTTGGGCCATCCTCTACTGCCTTCCCAGGCCATAAGCAGGGAGCTGGATGGAAAGTGGAGCAGCCGGGACATGAACCAGCAGCCATTTAGGATGTCAGTGCTTGCAAGGTGAGGATTTAGCCAACTGAGCCATTGTGCCAGCCCCTAGGTTCTTCTTTAATTACCATCTCACAAGAAATATTGAAAGTGAATATAGAAAATAAAATAGTTGCCATTAGCATGGGGCTATCTTCAATATTTTTGTATTAATCTTCCCCACAGGATTCCTTCCTAACAATTTCCCTTTCCCAATGTTAATAACTGATGTGCATATAGGTAGTAGCAACTGATATTTGGGAAGCACCTGCTATGCACAAAGCCTGCTATAGGAAAGTTCTCAGTGAATCCACCAACAGCCTATGCAGTAGGTTCTACTACCACCTGCATTACAGATGAGGAAACCGAGGTACAGAGAGATGGACAGATTAGCTCCAGGTCACTAAGTGAGTTGCAGAATGTGAATCCCAGGAGTCTGATACTGGTCCCTGCACCCTGACACACTGAAATTAATATTACTGGACACATGCAGGAAGCTTAAGCTGGAACTTAAGCCAGAGTGTCAGTTAACTGCACAGCAGAAAAGGTTGGAGACAGAAGACAGTAAGCGCAACCGGCTAGCACACACAGATGAAACGGGTCAACTGGCCACCCACCTATGGAATGTTCTGGGTCTTTCTCACTGCCAATGCAGCGAAGGCAGGGTGGCATGGCGGCGGCAGGCCTTTGCTGGATGAACTGCGGCTCAGCTCTGAGCCCCCATCCCCTTTAGAGATGCTGACCTCCCGGGACATTCACCAGGTCTGGGCTGAGAGAACAGACAGCTGCCTGTTGCAAAGTGGGGCTGAGTCCAGGAGGAGCTCCCAAGGGAGGCAGCCCCAAACCCTGAGGTGTTTGCTGAGCTGTGACACAACTGGGTGGGGCTGGGCAGGCTTAGCAGCTTCTGCTCCTGCAGTTGCCCTGGGAGAAGTTCCCATGGTGCCTGCGCCTCCCGTTCAGCATCTCCTGGGACCCTCCTCCCTCCATCCCTACCAGTCCACCCCTGATCTCGCTACCCTCTCCCCATCTCCCCAACTCACCCTGAGCTCCAGCCCCTGCCTGCCTCTGCAGCCTTCCTCACTCACCATCCGGCTTACCGCTGCCTCCCTCCCTCTTCTGCACTAGTGTGACTCCCCCCGCCCCAAATCCCTCTCTCTTTTTATTTCTAAACATCTTCAGCTGCTGAGCCCGCGGTTCCTTCTTTCCTCCCATGACTGCCTAGACAGTTGTGCTCACTCTTTAACTCTGATGGCAGATGTCATGCAGAGCTCAGATGGGTCAGGGCCCCTGTCACGTGCTCCCCCGGTTCCTTGGTCATCAGCAGGGTTTGTATGTTCCCAACGTGGCTCCAGATCTCCATAGGGACCCCATGCCTGTTCCCTAGCACAATGCCTGGACCCTCAGCATTCAGACCCAACTTGTGTGAGGGAGGGCTGGGGAAGTTAGCGCTAGATTTTTCTGGAACTGCCTGTCAGGCTCTGTCCTCCAGAGCCTCGGCGGCCAGGTGAGCCGCAGAGCTGACCTCCTGACTACCAGCTTCTTGCAGGAAGTCTGAAATGGGGTTTAAGTGGGGTGGGGGGGAAGGTCTTTAAGGCACACAGGCCTTGGCCATCCAAAAGCAGGCACTCCATGCTGCCCTCTGCCCCCTGTCCCAAGGACCAGTTACCAGGAACCTAGGCTTGTATAAACAAAGCCTTATCTGTTATCAGTTTTCTTTCTCCAACTCAGCCTGCCCTGAAGGTGGGGGTGGTGAGGGGCTGGCCAGACTCCACCCCCTTCTCCTTTCTCTCCTCTGTGGCTCTGGAGATCTTTCCTCCCCTCCCTGGCTGCCTGGGGTGGTGGTAGCGGTGGTGTTTGTGGGTGCTGGAGGAAGTTGGGGGTGGAGTAGGAACGCGGCAGGAAGCCATCTGTCAGTGAGTGAAGGGTGTGACATCCCCACTTGGGGTCCCAGCTTAGACTAATGTCTAACTGGGGAGCCCTTTGTTTTGGTCCTCAGGATATTCAAATGAGCAGTTGGGGCAAGGTAGATGGGAGGTCATCAGGCCCAAGGTTTCTTCCCACTCAAAACACCAGGGAGGATCCAATAGTGGCTGCGGGGGAAGACTGTCTGGCCTCTCGCCTCCTTGGACTTGGAGTTACATAAGCCTGGTCCTGACCCAGAAGGAGGGGGTGGATGGCTAACACTCTCCATCCAGACAGTCACGTTACACCAGAGGCATTCTGCTTGGAGCCAATCTGTGGGTCCCAGGCCTCAGATTCCACAAGCTGGAAATAGCTGAGCCACATCCCTGCGAAAATCAGTTTCTATGCTTCTCGGAAGGACCAGCTCTGAACACCAAGAGAAGCCACCTCCTCTCTCACACTGCTCCTCACTTCTCCAGCCATATTCCAGGGAGTCCTTGAAGAGGGTCAGACAGATACACCACTCTCACACCCCCAAAAGAGAAATGAGGTTAGCCATGGGACAGTGGTGTGGAGTCCCAAGGAATTGAAACTGCCAAGCGGAATTCAGAGTCTGGCCAGATCAGAGGAAGATAGGAGACAGAAATGCTCCCTGGGACTTCAACAGACCAAAATACTGGCCCCTCCAGCAGGTGTGGCAGTGTTGAGGCCATAAGATAGCGCCCCTTCGGGCCCGGCAGTGTGGCCTACCGGCTAAAGTCCTCACCTTGAACGCACCGGGATCCCATATGGGCGCCGGTTCTAGTCCCAGCAGTTCCACTTCCCATCCAGCTCCCTGCTTGTGGCCTGGGAAGGCAGTCAAGAATGGCCCAAAGCCTTGGGACCCTGTACCCATGTGGGATACCCAGAAGAAGTTCCTGGCTCCTGGCTTTGGATAGCCATAGCATTGGTCGTTGCGCTCACTTGGAGAGTGAATCATCCGACGGAAAATCTTCCTCTCTGTCTCTCCTCCTCTCTGTATATCTGACTTTCCAATAAATAAATAAATCTAAAAAAAAAAAAAAAAAAAAGCTTGATTAAAAGAAAGAAAAGAGCTTGATAAGCCAGCCTTGTGTCTAGATCAGAGACAGGCAAACCATGACCCTTCAAGCCATTTCTGGCCCCTTCCTGTTATTATAAATAAAGTTTTATTAGAGTATAGCTAGATTTGTTCTTTTATACATTGTCATTAACTGCTTTCATGCTGTTAGAGACTTGAGTCGTTTCACAGAGTCTGTTCAGAAGGAAAAAATCTAAAACATTTAGTATCTACCCTTTCTAGAAAATGTCTTCGGACCCCTTGAAGTAGGCACCAGAGGCAACATCCCAAAGCACAAGGCAGGTGCCCATTCCAGGGGTCCAATAGAGAACTACAGGGTTCCCAACACACTTGCTTTGTCCACACTCAAAGGCATCTGGGATGGAACACAAGTCATTCCTTGGCTGAGGCAGGGCCCATTTGCAATTCATTTACCAATGGGTACATGTTGGAGGATCTGCTGTACACTACTTAACAATACTGCCCGAGAATGAGAATCTCATTCCTCTATTTGTTTAAAACCCCATCCTGAGCCAGTCATCTACCAACTGGATTCTTGCTTGTTCACATGAATTTTTGCTGACACATGATTGAGAGACAGGGAACCCCCGCCCCCGCCCATCTGCTACTACTAATATTTCCTCAAGTACTCCAAATGGCTGAGGCTGACCGAGCCAGAAGCAGAAAGCAATAACTCCAATCAAGTCACCCAGGGAGGTGACAGGACTCCAACCACTTGAGCCATCACCTCTGACTCGCAATATCTGCATTAGTAGGCAGTCTGAAATTGTGACTCTCATCTAGAACTTGAACCCAAGCTCCAGCGGAAGACAGAAATACCCTAAGCATTAGGCTCAATGTCCACCCCTACCAATAGAAATCTGAAGTTTCTGTACCTCCCAAGAATTGGTGAGGTTGGACCTCAAGGTCTAGCTGACATGAAGGGCCCATTGTGTAGGAGACTTTATTGAGAGATTGACTTTCCTGTCCCAGGAGTGTAGAACCAGCCGTATGACTGGCTTGGGCCAATGAGAGGTGAGCCGAGTGACATGCTAGCCCCAGATTAAGCTTTAAGACTTAGCAAGTGACTGAGCGTGTTAATCTCTGCTTTCTGCTGTGAAATGATGAGTGTTCCAGATTGAAGTGTCCTGTTGTCGTCACTCCATCAGCCCAGGAGTGGAAATACCTGAGCAGACTGTAGCCAAAATACAGCAGCTGTGTAGTCAGCATGAAAAATAACCTCGGCTACTGTGAACCAGCCTGACTGTGTGGTTGATACTGTGGCATAATGCCTTTGTTTTTTGTATGCCAATATGTCCCTATAAAGTTGATTATATGTGTTGTTGTTGTTGTTGTTTTAATTCCCCTTCTGATTTTCACTGGGAAATAATCAACTGACTCTAGCGGGTAACATTAAATCATCTATAGACTGCATGGAATGCTACCCTAGATCTTAATCACAATATATCTTTTATTTAATTGGGGGGTGGGGATGAGGAAGGCAGATAGAAACAAGACACAGAGAGCTCTCATCCCCTGGTTCACTCCCCCAGCATCCTGCAATGAATGATCCTGGGCCAGGCCAAAGCTGGGAACTCCACTCCCTAGGAGTAGCTGGAACCCAATGTCATCAGCCATGGCTGTGGCCCCCTAGAGACCACATTAGCAGGAAGCTGGAGTCAAGAGCCAGAGCCCAGCATGGAGTTCAGCCACTCTGACGTGGGATGTGGGCGTTTTACCTGACATTTTAGCTACTAGGCTACCTGCCTAGCTGTCAGAATCACACTTTTTGAATAGGCAAAATCATCTAACACAAAGAGCCCTTACAAAGGCTCTTCAGAATTTTCATGGCAAATGTGTATCATGAATATAGATTTCAAAGGTTTTTGTGCTAAAATAAACTTGTTGAAATTCCTTTTTCTCATGAACTTTTTGAAGTACCCTTGCAAATATTCTAGCTTGAAAATTTCAGTTGATGGGCCCGGCACAATGGCTCACAAGCTAAATCCTTGTCTTGCATGTGCTAGCATCTCATATGGATGCCAGTTCATGTCCTAGCTGTTCCACTTCCCATCCAGATCCCTGCTTGTGACCTAGGAAGGCAGTCGAGGATGGCCCAAAGCCTCACGACCCTCATCCATGTGGGAGACCCAGAAGAGGCTCCTGGCTCCTGGCTTCAGATAGGCTCAGCTCCAGCTATTTTGCAGTCACCTGGGAAGTGAACCACAGATGGGAGATCTTTCTCTCTGTCTCTCCTGCTCTCTGTAAATCTGCCTTTCCAATGCAAAATAAATAAATCTTAAATAAAAATAAGTAAAATTGCAGTCAATCCACGAATAACGTAAAAGGCACACTCGGCCTTCTCTGCGCCCTGCCTTCTGAGTTCAGAGCGTTCAACATCCTCCTATCCCTCCCTAAGCCCCAGCAGCTGCCCCTGCCCTTCCACGCATGCCCCATTGTCTGGCCAAAGGCACTTGTTGCCTTTAGGACTGCTGCACACCTGTCCCTTCCTCTGTCCTTCCCCTGGCCAGCCCTGGGGCTGGCTCAATGGCCTGAAGCTACAACTCTCAGGTCAGAGAGACCAGTGTGCCTCTCCTGTTACACTCCTGGAGCTCATCTCCGGGCCAGGGTGAAGGCTGCGCCACCTGTGCCACTTGGCAGGAAGGAAGTTGGCGTGGGAGACAGGTCGCAGCCTTTGTCTCATCTGAAAGCCAGATCTTCAGAGTTACTGGCAGAGCGAGATGAAGAGCTGGGGCCAGGCCTCGTAGGTAGGGCAGGTGAGCCAAGCAACAGGGGTTCTGGGGATGCCCCAGGGTGGAGGGAGCTCCACCCTGCTCCTAGCACAGAACTCCTCCCTTCTGGGCAACACAGGAAGAGAAGTTCTACCTTCCTCACCTGCCTGGAAACCCGGATCAGCTAGGCGCGGAGGCAGAGCTAAGGGAGAGGGGGCTGCTGGAAGGATGACCCTTCCGGAGCCTTGCCCCCTGCTCTCCCATGGAGCAGGTGGGCTTCTCAGTGCCCAAAATGGGAGGCCCAAGGTGAAGTAACTGACTGAGGGGATGAAACTACTGAAATCCCACAATCCTTTCCCTGTTCTTGAGCTAAGAGGCGCAGAAGCTGTG